GGAGGTGAATGAAACTGAGTTGAAGTTGATTCGCCATGTGAAGGTCTGGCGAAATGAAATGTTGGACCCTCGGATCAAACTGGCAAATCGAATGCCGGTACCTGTGCTTCGCCTCACTGGCGAGAGACTGACGCACAAGATCTACCGAGACGGTTCGACTGTCACTGTTAGGGATGCTAACTTCCTGACAATGACGAATACCAGGCCGCGTGATGAAAAGGACTGGCGAGGACGAGTGGAGTTTGGACTGACACACAAGCCTCAGCGCAAGCATGCGCAAAAGAGTGCGCCGCGTCCTCATGATCCAATGGTTGGCAAAATGCCGCCAGCGGCGAATGCTGAAATGGAGCAGAGGAATGAAACTGCTCCGAAAGTCCGAGCCGGGACTGGCGAAGAGCCAGAGGAGTTGGAGCGGAAAGCGCGCGTGAGTCGGAATGTTGAGGAGCATGAGCTGGAGAATGCGTTGCGGTCACTTCCTCAACATGGTGACAAAATGAAGGAGTTGTTGTTGCAACTGTTCAATCTCGAGGATCCTGAGACTGCAGCACAGAGGACTGCAGATAGATGGATCATACTTCCTCTTTTTTCTTAAGAATGCATCATGAAGTGCGTGATTGCTACTTCCATCCAGATGATTTGGGTGATCAACTGTGGGGTGATAGGTACACAATGTTCTTTGACTCGAGTGATCCCACAACACAATGATTGATACTGGCCATCAAAATGAATGGGCAGACATCGAGCTGCCTGATGGATCAGTGAAGAAATGTGAGGATCCACGAAGTCCCCGCTGGATCGCCCTACTGCTGGTGAGAATGCTGAGCAGGAGACTGAGGATCGGAGTGCATTGAAGCCGAAAATGCTGAAGGTTCCCGGAGGACCCTCAGAGCATGAACGGCGATTGCACGAAATGACTCATCTCCCGTAAAGGGACTGGTGTGAACACTGTGTGCGGTCGAAAGGAAGACAGAGTCATGCAGTGAAGAAGAAGAATGATCGGCAGCCTGTGATCCAGATATCAGCCACGGATGTCCAGACTGGATATTCAATGGCTGTTGTACTGACTTCGAAGGGAAGTGTCGAGAATTACGGAGTTGCTGAGTTGAGGAAATTTGTGTTTGAGATTGGCCGTACTTTTGGGATTGTCCAATATGATAAGGAAGCGCCACTGAAGACAATGACGCGTGATCTTTGCAAGGTTGCTGGAGGAATGTCCATGAGAGCCGCACCAGGGGAGTGTTGGAAATGCCCAACGGACTCTCTACGGCCAACTGCGAACACTGTTGTCCCAAGTAGAGGAATCCGCTGGAGTGAAGGTGAGCTCTGAATCAGCATTGTTCACGTGGAGTGTGAAGCATGCGCAATGGTTGATTAATCGGTACATGATTGGAGCTGACGGCAAGACTGCCTACAGTGCCTACAGCCGTCGCTGGAATCGCGGGTACAATGGCTCACTGTGCATGTTTGGTGAACGGATCGACGCAAAAGTGCCTGTTAGTTGCAGAGTGCATGTTTCCAAGGCTGGATCTCAATGGTTCAGTGGAGTGTACCTTGGTAAAGACACTGAAGCCGATGAAGTTGTGCGTGGGAATGACAATGGTGTCTTCAAGTTCAGGACTGTGAAGAGAAGATCTCCTTCTCAACAATGGAATGCATCGTACGTCATGAAAATGATGTCAACTCCTTGGCAGCCGCGTGGAGATGGAGTTAAGTGTAATGCCACTGGATCTTGGAGTGACAGGCCGAGCGAGGCCCCCTCCTGGACTGGAGCGTGTTGAGGAAGAAGTTGAAGGGAATGTTGAGCTTGAAGACATGGTGCCTGGCCAGAGTGAAAGTGTTACTGAGCAAGATCTACTGCCTCAAGATGGCAATGACAGAGCTTCTGCTGAAAGGGGTCATGAAGCACCTGAGGCGACTGGAGAATCGCCTTGGAAGAGTGCGAGGATTGATCCAGATGCACCTGCTTCTGAGCCGTCAATGAAGCAAATGAGAATCTCTGCAGTGCATCACATGATTGCGGGAGTGATTCCAGCTTGTAAGTGGCTTGCGTCGATTGTTGGAGTTGATGAAGTTGTTGGAAAGGACGGATCAAAGATTGATGTGGATGTGAATGCCGAGGAAGGCGAACTCGACCAAGAAATGCGACTCTCCGAACCACTGCTTTGGGAGAGTGAGTTTCCGCCTGAGGCAGAAGAGAAAGGAATGATGAAGGAAATGGATAATCAATGGCTACCCGCTATGGCACTGGAAAGAAGACAAAGCATGTGGAACTGCGGTTCCTACATGTCCAGAATCTGGTGCAAATGGGCCTACTGAGGATGGCCAAGATTGATGTCACGCGGAATTCCGCGGATCTAATGACCAAGTATGTTGCAGCTGATGCGTTGCGGCGACTGAAGGTGCACATTGGTGTTGTGTCTAACTGGTTCAAGGATCTCACCACTGATGCTCATGATACTGATGGTCGTGTTGCTCCTGTGGTGAATGCTCAACGGCCTCGGCCTCGGTGCGCGTCCCGAATGTACCCACTGCGCACACTGTTTCTCTGGACGCCGTTGGACTGAAGACCACGTCGAGGAACTGTGTAGGTGAGCTGCGGTGAATGCATGGCATGTTCTGGCTGCACATGTCACACTGCTGTTCTGTCTAATTAGTGTAAAGGGAATGCAGCAGCTTCTTGTCATGACTGCATGTGCAATGTTCACTTGTCTTATCATGGCGGCATGTACAATGTTCCAATGTTGCCCGAAAACCACAAAACCAAAGAAAGAGAGAGTTGAGAGACTGAGAGAATTTTCCGAAATGTTTTCTCCGACTGTTTGCTGTCTCGAAGGGACTGTGCCGAAGCTTCCGATTTGCCGAAATGTGGCCGATTGTTTTCCCAGTGATTGCAAGTGAGATTGCATGTACAGAGTGCAATGCAAGGGACTGCTTTAGGTCCATGTGTTGCAGACTGAGGTCAATGTGTTTCCCCCGAAATGTCTTTTGCTGAATGTTCCTTAGTGACATCGACTGCATGTAGTGTGGACTGCTTCCTTCGCTCGCCCGATTGTAGCAGCAATGGCCCCTAAGCCTTCGACTGCAGCACCGAAGAGTGGAGCTGTTTAGTTTAGCGAGTGCGAATGGAACCAGTCCCGGAGCATGTTTACGAGGCCAGAATGTTCCGGATGATTGCCCGGATCTGCAGCGACTGGCGCAGGGACTGTCAATCATCCGCCCTTCTGCGGACCCGCCAATGGCGAATGTTCCCACGACTGGGCCTGCAGATTGATGCCGCTCTTGGCCTCCATGAAAGGAATGGCACAGAGGAGACTGACCCTTCAAGTGAAGGAATGCTCGGAGTGCTGCTTGGATCCCGATGTCTTTGGCAATGGGACTGTACACCAATGGTGTGCTGGATTTGGCAAAGCTTCCTTGCCACCAGCTGAATGGCAGCTACAATGCCCTCAGCGCACTGAGGAAGACTGTACAATGGGCGAATCAAGGCGTCTTCGAGGAGAGTGAGAATGACGAACCGATTGCCTTCGTGGTGTTCCGCCGCACCAAGACTGCAACAATGAGAAGATGGGTTGGGCGGACCGAGCATTCGAGTGAAACTGGCGAATTACTTCAATCGCGAACTCACGGACCACATCAGCACCTTCGAATAGGATGGCGATGGTCCCGGCAACTGGAAGTGGACAATGGAGCCACTGTCCCATGCAAGTGCTGGGATTGTCCGCGTTCCAATGACGGACCCAATGTGCATCCGCAGCCCTAAGCTGCTGCTGTCCGTGAATGAGATCATCGAGTGGGGAATGCTCGCCACCCACCGAGGCCACAACCTGGTGGATTGGAGATTGATGGGACGCACAATGATCCCACTGTCCCAGTGCATCGGCGCGGTCTTGAAGCATGACTGCTCCACCTGGGAGGAGCTCTATGGGAATGAAGAAGAGAAGGAGACCAATGCTTGGAATGCTCCCAAGACCAAGAATGAACAGGTCTCCGGAGTTGCCCTGGCGCAGACTGCGAACGCCCTCGAGCCCGGCCCCGAGATTGTCCTGCGCAAGAATGCGAAGGGCACTGTGAAGTGAATGCACTGAGCGCCGCATAATTTAGGAGTGCCATGTGACTGCGATTGTTTTGCAATGTGAAGTTCTTGCTGAGATGTGGCATGGATTTCTTCAGTGGTTAGCTGAGAATGAAGTTCTCGGATTCAGTCGAATGTAGCATCAGCCGACTGTCTGCAATGATCACTTGTACAGTGCAACCCGGCCTCCGAATGCCGTCTTCTCACGACTCGAATGTCATCCAAGAGTCAAGCCAAAAGTCCGGAATGAGGCCAATGATCCTTCGTAGCTTTGATTGTCGTTTGTTTCGGATGTTTCTTTGATCGCTTCGCGAATGACACCCTTTATGCTCGTTTGTTATATTTGAATGATCTTCGACTGAAGTCAAAATCATGGGACTGTGTTAAATGACACGAGCCCAATGATGCACCTTTATGTCATGATGCATTGACGAATGCTACAATGCCGAGTGGCATTGGCTCAAGACTGGACTGAGGCTGGACGTTCCAAAGGAATGTGTGCTGAGTGTGACAGGGGAAAGTGATTGATCTTGGTTTCTCTCTAAGGCTGTATTGCACTGTTGAATTTTTCACTCTGTCTCTCTGTCTCTCTCTCTGTCTCCCCTTCTCTTTCTCCTTCTCTTTCTCCTTCTCCCTGTCGTTCTCCATCTCCTTCTCTTTCTCCTTCTCTTTCTCATTCTCTTCCTCTTCCTCTTCCGCTTCTTCTTTCTCTTCCTCTTGCTCTTTCTCTTCCTCTTCCTCTTCCTCTTTCTCGTTCCCTTTCACTTTCCCCTTCCCTTTCTCTTCATTTTTCTCTTTCTCTTTCTCTTCTCTTTCTCTGTCTCTTTCTCCGTCTCCGTCTCTTTCTCTTCCCTGTCTCTAGCCGATCAAGCGATCAAGCAGTTGAGTCAAGTCCTTGGAAGCAGTCCATGCAGTGGAGACCTGTCAGGCCAGCACATACGTCGCAAAGGTCCTCGATTATTGGACAAGCCACGAGACACACAATGATTTTGGGCATCTCTGTTTCTGCTCGAGTGATTGGCCAAGTAGCCTTGGCTTCGAGTAGTCAACGAGAGCAGCTCAAGGCTACGATGATGACTCGGTTGAGCTATGCCGACGCAACTCCGATACTTGACTGATAAAGTCTTTATTGACCTTGTGCAGATATGGCCAGAGAACGAACCCACAGCTTGCAGGAGAAATGTCCATGGAGGAATGCTGATCGCAGAAAGGATGCGAAGTTATGGAGCAATCTGGCATGCAGTTCGGGTTTGCACCCGAATAGGACCGGCCGTATATGTCTAGTAAGAGTCTAGTATCGCGTTTCCTCCAGCAAATGATAAGCGATCGAAGCTGCGGCACTCCCCCATATCAAGAGAGTTGCTGCGGCTTACCCCTTCTTGCGCCATGCACCTGACAAATGCAAGCTACGGACCAAATCGAGTGTGCATGAAGTCGTCATGCACCCAGGTCACTTAGCAGGTACACCAGGGGTCAGTTCAATTGGGAACACGGGCATGGCGTCAGGGATGTTTTGCTGTGCTGTGACACCACAGGCAACCAAGCCTGCAGCGATGCTGGACACATGGCGCAGCGCAGACGTAATGCAATGTTGGAGAGCCAAACATGTGGAGACCTTGAGGGCCACTCGGCGAGAGAACTGTGCGTAGGTGTGTAGGCATATTTTTGTCTTGGGGACTTTCAGGAGCGTTTGAGTTCATGGTCAATCCACGAAGGCTTTCCGTGCATAGGCATACAGCTCCTGCAGCTGGTACCAAGGCGACAATGCTGGACATGCATTTTATGCACGGCGTCGGGTGTTGGATCGTGTTATTCCGCATCCTTTCGTGATGGCGGCCTGGGCCCATGCCGGCTTTCTGTCCGGTTTTTTTAGGGTTCTGGCCTCTTTTGACTTCCAGGTGCCGATGCCGTTTTACACCACGATTGGATCACAATCGGATCAACGACAGGAGTGTCAGTCGCAACCTCGGATTCGCTTTTGCTTTCGAAAGATAAGAAATTGGAAGACGGGCCATGCCCAGGGATTCGAGCATCGGACGGCGTCGTTGGTCTGGTGGTTGCGAGTGCCGACGCGCCCCATCTGTGCAGTCTTATTAGATCATGTATGCAAGTAGCACCTCCGTGAATTCCACGCCAACGCCTTGAAGTTTCATCAAGGCATTATGTTGTTGCAGTTGTAGGAGTCGATAGAAGCTCGGATATTGGGAAGGTCGAAATTCTCCTCGCGATCTTCCGAAAGGCCAGGCAGAGCATTTGCTGATTTTGCGCTTACGTCATGTCGGTGTCTCAGTTGTTCTGGCCTGGGCAGGCTGGTCCTGCCAAGGGGACAGGCCGGGTCGACGGGTCGAGGTAATATCATGGCGACAGCGAAGTAATCCATGCCAAACCCTGTGCAATGCTTGCCAGTGTGTCGTTCACCGGAGACAATCTCGGACGAGAAGCTTGGCGTATTCAGATCTGCTGAAGAAGGCTCGAGAACCTGCCCCCTGAGGAAGAACTCGTTCTCTTCCCCAAGAGATTCCCGAATCTCTTCAGCGTGTTTCTTGGTGAGACCTAGAGCTGCAATGTCGACAGCCCTGGAAGTGAACTCCTGCAGCTCAGGGTTGGAGATGACGATGCGGGAAGCTGCAAAATCCGAGAGTATGGTACTTGCACCAAACGGAACACCCAGGTCGGGTTCCGTTGCTGCAGAGCTCGTTGCAGTTCCCCTTTGGCAGGTCAAGTCGCTGCATACGCTTTTCTTCTTTGGTTTTCCCCTGAAGATGCTTGGCATTGATGCGTATGCCGTTTGGCTTGCCAGATTATTGAATTGATTGGTGACAGCTGAGAAATGTGAACGAACACTGGAGCGGGCTGAAAGCCGAGACGGGCCGAAACGAGGCAGAGCCTGGCAGTCGAGCAAACAGTGTGCTCTCTAGTCTCTAGCTGCTCTAGCATGCAGGCTTCCGAGTATATCATGGAGTGGATTTTCAGCACCTATAATGACTTGCTTGTGGACCTGAACGACAAAGCGAAAGGTGGGCTGTTTGTGCAATCAGGCCGCAGCGTGAGCGTATGAGAAAGAGCTCTAGCTGTGCCCAGGCTTCAAGATTCTTGGCTGAGCCGATTCCTGGTCACAGGACTGCCTGGCAGTTTGGGTGGATGTCTCTTGCCAACCTCAGGATGTCTTTCGATGCTAACAGTCTCCAAAACGGGAGCCCCTTGCTGAAGCAGTAACTTGATGCAAAGAGAAGGCGGGTCCTTTGCAGAATGCAAGTGTGAAGTTATTTGCCCGAGGTACATCGCCTACAACATCCCCCGAGATGCACGTTGGATCACAGCATCCATTTTCTTCATGCTGGGGTACATCTCTTACACAACGGGCTCCGTCTTCCTCGGTGTCTCTGCGCCAGTCCAAGTGATGACTGGCCAGCAGCAATGATTCCTGGTGTGTATGTGTTATAGGAGGATCCGGAGACAGCTCTTGCGCCGTAGCCTCTACCAAGATCATAGCGATGATCGTCTTCGCCTTCGGGCCGGCACTGTTGCCCCTTAGCTACAACTCTGTGGCATGGTTTTGGCTGAAGCGGCACGTGATTCAGGTGCACTTGCCAAGACATGCAGCACGACCCATGACGTCATCTCTTAGGCTCTACACCATCGTCTTCGGGCAAAGGTACATCGGACTCTCAGCGAAATCTGTGCCCCGTACTCCGCGGGACTGATCGCCAGTCAGGCATGCCGCTCAGCTGTCACCAGCAAGTTCAGGATTGCTGCACCTCAATGGCCTCTTCATTATCTTGGGTGTGGGCGTGGACGACGCCTTCGTCATTATGGTGTGCCCAGTGCCCGTCCATGCTGCAATGCCTTGCAATGCGCATCAATGCGCAGTGACACGCAGGATGCCTTTGGCCAAGAGAAGGCCGAAGCTGAAGCGGAAGGACGACCCACCAACTTCAGTGCTCCGGGGGGGCCATTGGGGTGAGAACATGTTCTTCGGACTCCTGGTACCGGCACGTTTGTATGCCAGAGCATCCTTCAGTGCTGCTCTCAGCTGCGGAGCCGTTGCCGGATGGTGAGGTGCCATCATGTCTCCAGCGGTGCACCATGCCTCGAAGGCTTGTTTGCCTGGAGCTCGGAAAGACGTCGCCCTTCTGCCGGGGCATTGCGTCCTTCTCACTTGTGAGGTGCACCTCTTTGACAACCTTCTTTGCCTTCGCCTCGAGCATTCAATTGCAAGAAGTGTTTCCAGCTCTCGGATTGACAGCCCGGAGTCATCCGGAGTCGGAAGATCCTCATTTCACGCCACTGACTGCTCCAGGAACTCGGTCTCTGACTTCCCGTCAATCCGAACCTTCGGCATGTTCTGTGTGCCTGAGCAGCAGCGGAGAAAGAAGCACATGCTACCGTCAACACGTGCTCGGAATCGCGGTATTGCCAGACGACAACTAAGACGACGTCGCTTGAAAGGAACAAGGCCCTTGGTAAGGTGAATGCTTGCACGCAGCAAGGCGATTTGCATTCAAGAGAAACATGATAGAGGGTCCATTCATTGACAAAGGACCCGTCGTAAGAAGCGGACTGCCAGAAAGGGAAAAATCCTCAAGAAACGTGCCCTAGGGCCTTCGAGTTCCCACCTACGATACTGCGATCTTCAATCCGCTCATGAACGATGTGGCCAAATTCTTTAAATTCATTTGGGGTGGGTGAGGCTTGTGTTGGTTGAAGGAACTTGGGCAAAGATGGGGTTTTTGGGGCCCGAGCCGAGGGGATTCACCTGAATTGAGTGTGCCTCGTCAGGCATGCCTCATCGTAACAAACTTCTTTATTGACTTCTCCTTCTTCCTGGCAATCGTCGTCCCGGCGCACTTTGCTTGCACATCTCACTTTGGAGTTGAATGCAGGGGGGCCGTTGTCGCGAGGAAGCTGCTTGGAAGCTCGCGATTCTGCGCAAGCTTCAAATTCGACTCGGCCAGGTGTGTGCGAACGAGCGCCTGAAGAAGCCGAAGTCTGCACCAGCGCCCTCGATCGAGGAGGATGTCTTCGGGAAAAGTCTCCATGATACTGTTCTCGTTTGGGGGGACATCGCAGATTTGTCTTGCGCTGGGCTTGCTGAATTCGTACAGCGCCGTGCCATCATCAACTTGCAACTGCATGTTTTTTTCCAATATTTTCTAGTGCGAGGCAGATACGCTGCGACCCATGGAGAAGCTACTTGCCTTGGCGAGGAATTTCGTGGAGCGAGGGTGACTTTGTTCGCTTTGTGATTCAACCCGAGGTGGTTTCATGACACTTTCTTCCTTTTTGTCTGCATCTCAGCTTGTGGGTTTGCGCTTGGCCCGAGAGCAGAGGTTGAGATTGCTACGGAAATAGCAGCCCTGAGCTGCGGACAGCAAAAGCACAGCGCAGGTCAAGACCTTCAAGTTTCCACTGCTCGGTGTCTTCGGTGTGTGGGCCGGTGTTTGCATGTGGACTGCCACCTACGTCACGCCTGACCCGAACATGCCCAAAGTTTTCATGCCGAGCGACAACTACGAGCGCTTTCTGCCCACGCTGGCGAAGAGATACGAGAAGACCTTTAATCCCTTCCGGCTGAAGGTCCGAATCCATCTTGGTGTCGATGCAGATGATCCCATCAATCGAGGAACTACGCCTGACTACAACGACTGCTTCTTCAATTGCGCAGGGCAAAAGCCAAACTATGTTGATCTCTTCGCCACTGCTGGTGGCTTGTCTGGTACTTTGCATTAATGTCAATGTCTGTCAACTAGGACTCCCAGTGTCCGTAGGTCCTCCATCTTTCAACGCTGGTGTGGTAGCTCATCCCGTTGTTTTGGCGAGGCCAGCACACGATCGAGAGCAAAAGCAAGCAGTGGAGCCACTGGTCTTACAGCTTTCTTTAGCTTTGCGGCGCACCATCGGCAGCTGTCCTTTCATGTGAAACCTTCTGGAGGAATGCAGAACATCACCCAGAATCTTTGCGAAACTTGGTCAGCAGATTCACCGCTCCAGTGCCCCAGTACCTTGAACCTTGCTTGAATCGATTCCCCATGGCTGCCTTGAAAATAAGAACCCGTTGTAACCTGTGAGGAGCTGCGAGGATTTTGCATCAGGAGAAACCTGCCAAAGTGGCTTTCCCCCCAAATTTTGGGTGACACGAACCAAGTCTGGGAATGGTTGGTTGTCGTGGACAAGGACCAGGAAAATTGCAGGATCAGTGGTTCGCGGGAAGGCCAGAGTATTTGTCCATATGATTCGACAACTGCAAGACCGGAAGCTGACTGTGCAGAGGACAGGAGCCTGTTGCGACCATAGCCGTACCGACAAAGGTGCCGCCCAGGAGGGAAACTGATCGGATAGGCTGAAAGCTGTGTATGGTGGCTGGTTCAAGCTGATGGACGTTGTTGCTGGGGTTCGCTTCCTTCAGGGCGCTCTCGCCAGTAATTTCTGGGGCTTGGGTTGTCCGGTGTATTGCGTTCAGCCCTCCTTCTCCCTCCTGGCCTTAACTTTTCTGCTGGGCTTCCTCTCCGGTGCCGCCGGCCTGGCCTTTGGAATTTTCTGGCTGGGGGGTTGGACTTCCGCTCCGGCGGCCCCCAAAACTTTTTATCTGCTGCACAGGCCCGTCTTCAGGGGTACTTGCATGTCAGACGGCCCTGACGGCCATTCCTCATTTGTGATCAATATCCGAGGGTGCACTGCCTGCCGCCCTCCTCATTGCCGATCACCTGCAGCAGTTGCAGGCCCCTAACCTCTGCCCCTAGGACACGCCTTGGAGGAGCCCGAACCCCTAGGCCCTACTCCCGAGCAGGTCCCCGGCACAGGCACAAGCGACTTCACCAGAGCAACTTACAGCTCGACAGGCACCGAGGCAAGCTTTACTCCCGGAGCCCGACCTGCTGGAGGTCGCTCTTCACCACCAGACCCTGCTGTTCAGGTTCCCTTGCCGGGCCCCGTGCCCCGTCTTCCGGTCTCCTCCTCGCGAGCCGACCTGGAAAGATCATTGCCTGCCTGCCCTCCTGATTGGCTAGCACAGGGCTCTGTTCTGACCGCTGCTGGCACCCTGTCAGGTGAGGACCGCATTCGCCGCGCGTGGCGTGCGGGCGCTTGGGCCCGACTTGTGCTTCAGGGAGACATTGGCTCCCCGGCCTCTTCGGTCCAGCTCTCGCTGCCTTCCCGCTTCTACGTTGTGCTGGGGGGCGGAGGCCACCAGCCTGCCCTCTACCGAAATTTCCGGGACTACCAGAAAGCGGTCGGCCCTTTCCCTGCCAGCTCGGCAGTCTCACATAGCTTCCCGTCTGAACTGGAGGCTCGCGTCTACACTGCTGCTGCTGGCCTGCCATGGCCACTTACTTCAGCCTAGAGGACTTGGTCCCGTACCACCAATCTCGACAGGTGCTGGTCTACGAGCACCCGGCAGCCGATGGAGACGGAGTGTTGGAGAGCATGGCTGTGGCTGTGCTAAAAAGAGACATGGGGTTCTTGTTAGCCCTTCCCTGTGGGCTGCTGGAGGATTCAGAGATAGCAGCCGGGCTGGTTGCCGCGATAGACTCGCCTTTGGGCCCGACCACGGTGGTCGCCATTCCTGCCGGCACCTCCTCCAGAGAAATTTTCACGCCTGCGGGGCGCAGTTGTCAAGTGACTCTGGCAGACCTTTCGGTGGAGGCCCTTGCACGTGTGGGCCCTTTCGAGCACGACCAGCCTCCCGAGGTGATGCTCACGTTCGACTCTGCATCTCCCGAGCTTGTGCCCGAGCCGCAAGCTTTGCTGGCCGCAGCCCAAGCCTGGATCTCGGATCTCAGCGCTGCCGCCTACGAGCGAGTCACCTTTTACTCGGCCGACGAAGCACCGGCCCCTGCATCGGGAAAGGCCCGTCCGATGCTGCACTTGTCTCGACCGCAAAAGGCCACTGCAACTCAGCCGGGGGGCGCTTCTGGAGGCATCGGGCCCTCCGCCGCGCCAGCCGAGAAGCCAAAGAAGCCGTCGATGGCAGGACTGTCGGCCCAGCTGGACACATTGTGTGCGACCTTGCCGGCCCTAACCAGCAAGCTTGCCGAGGTGGGCCAGAAGCAGCAAGAGATGGCGACTCTACTTGCATCAGGCGGTGCTGCTCCTCTCCGGCAGCCGCTGGGGGGGGCGCCTTCGTCACTGGGAGCCTCTGCAAAGGCATCTGCCCCGCTGGCATCACGGTTGGGCCCTCCACCGGGCACGCGCCTGCCAACTGCCGAGCCTCATGGAAGAGGCCCAAGAAGCCGAGGATCGGCTCCCGTTTGGGTATGAGGCTTCTGCTTTCGAAGGCACCCGGGCACTGTGACATTGTGAATTTGTCGGCGGTTCTCATTGGCAACAGCCCAGCCGCTCCTTCACATGCCCGACTCATGCGCCACCGGGCTGCCACCGCCTATGAGGAAAATCAGGTGCAAGGCTCTCCCGACAAGGACGTTGAAGCGGCCACCTTGTTTCAGGCTATAGGTGCTGAGGTTGACTCCCAAAGGCCCCAGGTTAGCAGAGGCTGCGTGCCGGTTGGAGCGCCATTGGGGCGACGCGTTGCCTTGGCTGTGCTTAGCCTCAGGACCGCCCGGCTGCCTATCACATCGGCTCGCCTGCTTTCCCGCCTCACCGGCGCTTGGATATCCTGTGCTATGTACCGCCGGTGCCTCACCTGCATTTTTCACAGAACCTTCGGCCCTGACCCGATCCAACGGCCCGTGCCTCAACCACGGAAGCTTGCCCAGGGGCCCAGGAGCTGTGTCTAGCGGCGGCCCTTATCCCCATGTTTGCTACCAACCTTGCTGCGGAGCAACACGAGAAGGCATACGCCACGGATGCCTCTCTCGCCCTGGGAGCCTACTGTGAGACACTAGTCGACCGGGACCAAGCTAGAAGCCTTTGGCTGAACGGTGACCGGCGAGGAGCTTACAGCCGCCTGTCCACGGGGGCCACCTCAATCTTGCAAGCCCTCGGCGAGGAGTGCTCCGATGAGAACGAGTGCCCGCCTTTGGGTCCCGAGCCTGCTGCACCCTCTATGCCTTTTGCCCTTGACTTTCTCGAGGTAGGCCACAAGACTGGGCTTATAGGCGCACAAGCTTCTGCTGCCGGGTTGCGGGCGGGGCCCCGATTCACCCAGCAACCTCGGTGCATTTCGACCTTGGGGACCCCGACTTTTCGGTGTGGCTGTACTCTGTTCTTAAAGGAGGCCAGGTGCGGGCTCTGGTGCTCCACCCTCCTTCGGGCTTTCTCTGGTGCTGGCCGCCGTGACCCACCTAAGTCGCTGACTGCAGGGCACGAGAGCGCTGGTCTGCTACTAGAGCCACTGCTGCTCGGTGCCTGGGTTTCTTCAAGTTCGCTCGCCGCCTGGGCCGGCCTGCCATTGCAATCCTGCCGTGCTCCTCGCTGCTTCTTCGCACCAGGCAATGGAAGGCTGCCGCCACAGCGGGCGATCTGCTTGAGGTATGCACGTGTGTCTTTGGCAGAAAGAGGCCCTCTCGGATCCTCCTTGTCGCCACCTATGTGCCCTTGCGCGGCTTGCGTAGGAGCTGCGTTTGCGAGCAGCCAGGTGCAGCACCCTTGCGGGGTCACAGTGGGGCGGTTGATGCCTATCTGCCTCCCGGTCTTGCCTCCGAGATATGCCCGGGCCCCTTCGCGCTGCACTGCAAAATGAATGCTCCGAGAGCCCCCCTAGGCCAGCCCTCGAAAGCCTGATTGTGAACGACCTCCTCATGACGGCAAGGTGGCAGGTGCGGCGCATCATTAAGTGGCAAAATTCGCACCACGGCATGTGTGGTGCTGCTTCGGGACCTAGCGTTGAAGACCGGCGACTGCCGTTTTACCGTGCTGCTTGATTCGGTCGTTGCCAAAGCTGCCGCGGCAAAGGGCCGCTCGACCTCCTTTGCGTTGTCCCCTGCCTTGGCTCGGGCCTGCGCCATTCAAGTGGCATATGGCCTCTACCCTTCCTTGGGTTTCGCCCCGACAAGGTTGAATATAGCCGACGACCCGACACGTGTTTCTGAGCCGACCGCCCTCTGCGATGAGCCTCACCCAACTGCTTCCATCTTGGGTTGCCCATGGCCTCGGGGCAAGGCGTTTCCAGCGGGCTCACGTGTCTTGGCTACGGCTCGCCCTGCTGACCCTCCTGAAAACCGGCCCCTCTCGCCCGTCATCTGCTCTGCTTTGGGCGGTGCCGCTGAACCATCTTACGAGGGGGGCTGCATCCGGGACTTCGATGCTACGCTTGGTTTTCCTGGGGAGGGCCCTCTCCTCCTTTCGTCCATGCCACGCTGGCGGTGCACTGCCGATTTGTGCCTGAGCTTCCACTGTGGACTTGTCTGTGGACTTTCCTTCTCCTCTGTTCTTCTCTTCGCCGCTTTTGGCCTTCTTTCTCCGTCGCTCGCCCTCTTGTGGGCTCGAGCCTGTCCAGCTGTGCTTTCAGACACTTCCAGTGTTATCGTTTTCTTCGCCGCCTGCTTCCTCGCTGCCGATTGTCGCCCTGCTCCTTCCTCCTTCTTCGACCAAACCTTGGGCTTTCCTGGCGAGGGTTGGGGTTGGTTCCGGGTTTTCAGGGTCTTTTGGGCTATCTCTTGTAGGTCCAGCGCTGCCATGGAAACCCCTGCTCCTCGGACTCCTGCTGATGCCCGCAGGGCCCAGGCCAGATCGCCTATTGAGCTAATTGCTGACAGAGTGGTGCGGCCTGCTACCAGGGCTAACCGAGCCAGGATGCTCACTGACTTCGAACAATGGCTGCTGCAAACTGGGCATCCAGCCCTGAAGGATGTTCTGGCCCTTCCTTTGGACCGTGCGGAGGACATTGCAGCTCTGTTGGTGAACTATGGCCGGAACTTGTTCCGGAGTGGCTCGGCATATTACCGATACTCTGAGACCATTAATGCCATTGCTGCGGCTCGGCCTGGGCTCCGCAGACATCTCAGCGCCGCCTGGGACCTTGCGTTTGCATGGCTCACCGAAGAGCCCCATGCTCACCACAAGGC